AGTAGCCAATATAGAAGGGATATGGACTATCCTCCGCCGCCGCCTACCCACCATGAGCACCATCCACATCAAGGACAGCCGCCTGGACCTCCTCGACCATACCCCGGGCCGCCACCTCCGCATGTACCACACCACCCACACCCTGGGCCGCCGCATGTACCGACGGGTCCTGAATATCCTCACTATCACCACCAGCATCACCAAGGTCGACCACCGGTTCCAATACCCGCATATGCACCAGAAGCTCCAGCTCCTCCTCATCCTCCTGGTCATCACCACCACCACCAGGGTCCACCACGTCCCGATGGCCATCGGCCACCGGAGCAAGGATGTTGTGTGATAATATGAGCAAGAGATTCGACTTCAAACGTTGCTAACACAGTTGATGTTGACATTATTAATTGAAGTAGGGTTAATTCGGCTGATCATGTTGTCATGTAGATCAAGTGTTAGAAGGGTGCGTTTGGTTCACGGAATGTAAGATTACCAGTGGGAATAAAAGATTATCACGGAATAGGATTACTGGAAATGTTGTATTTTGTGTTTGGTTAGTTTAGTAAGAATGTAAGATTATTGTGTTTGGTTAAAGGAATAAAAGATTATTGGAATGTATATTTTACCAAATTGTCCTTATTATATATTTATTTTTTTAACAAGTTAGAAAATATTTATATATTTTCTTTAAAAAAATTAAATTCATAAAATTTATATAATTTTTTTTACAAAATTAAAAATATAAAAAGGTTTAATGAAATGGTAAATTTTTATTTTAACCCCTGAACTTCATATAAAATTTTAATTATAAATTTTTGAATCAGAAATCAGGAGATTCCCAAGTTTCACCTGACTATGAAAGGAATGTCACTATGCAAGGTATTCAAGAATCATGCTGCAAGGTGTTATGCTTCATGAATACCTTGCATTTCTTCATAGAACAAGGCGATAACTGTCGCTCTTTACGCTGTCCATTCAATAAAAGACCCCTCCTAATATGACAACTTTTTTTCTCATTGATCATTAGATCACTTGTAATTCAACCTTTTCATATATAAAGGATTGCAACATGGGAGATAAGCAAGAAGAATATTTCCACACTGGCTAGAGTTGTTGCAATCTTTTAACTGCTGGAAGAAAAGATAGTTTTCCTTTGGAGCAAGGACAAGGTTTTCCCCATTGACGTAGACTGCAAAATCTTACTTGTCTATAATAAAACTCTTAAATAAGGGAAAAAGACGAATCAAAATTAAACAAAAAGATAAGTTTGTACGTAGAAAAGTTGAGATAATGCAGTATATGTTATAGTAGTCTCACTTGCACATGTCAAATAATTCCACTAATGATGGATATATAGAGATCAAAGTTGTGCATATTTTCATTATCTCTAGTATCTTTGAAGTGTTGATTTTCACTGAGAATTTTTAAGATTTTAAAACAAGACAATTACTGTGGAAGAATTAAGCATTATCCGGTAGGGTCTTTTGTTCAAGATCAAGAAACAATGAAGTCTATTAATGGTTTTTGCATTACATTACTCGGCCAAATCAAATTTAAAACAAAAACAAATACAAAATTGTTCTGAAATTGTGAATTGTTGAGGTAATTTTCATCATTCTTACAACATAAAAAATTCACTTTCCACTGCTATTCTTTCTCCTCTCAGTGTATGCCTTCAAAGCCTGAACCTCTGCAAAATAAAAAATTAAGGGGGAAAAAACAGAAATTTGGTCAAAGAGCCAAGTTAATTAAGTGGGTTTTAATAGAAACGAGAGAATAAAATGATTAAAAGCATACCCATTTGACAAGATTTTCAATTTTTGTTGCTCTTAACAAGACAATCCTGCAAAAAGGAGAAAATAAAAAGAAGCTGGGGTATAACTAAGGTTTAGAGTATGGTTCAAAGAATAAAAAGAGAAGGGGGATTTTATTAACTTGCAAGGATAAGTACATAGCGGAGCATTCCTTCAATTGTTTCACGTTCTCACCGTCATCAGCGGCGGCGTCTTCGTGGAGCACCACAAAAGAAGAAGTCCGTTGGACAAGTGATGGAATCTCCTCGCAACAACTCTCGCCAAATCAAAGAAAAGAAGATTTTGTTTCAGTCAGAAGTAAGCGGAGAGAATGGTAATTTAGACAGCTGAGACGGGAATAAACAAATAACTAAGGGATATAGGGATTAAGATTCCCCGGAAAACAGAAAAAAAAAATAGCATTGTTGGTATTGATTTTTTATTGACATTTGGGAATGTTACACATCATCCAAAAGTGGGTATCTTAGTCCCAGAAAAAAACATTCCTCATAGGGAATATTGTATTACCTTATTTGGTTTGTTTAGCGAATGTAAGATTACAGTGTTTGGTTGAAGGAATATAAGATTATTTGGATGCATATTTTACCAAATTATCCTTGTGATATATTTTTTAAAGTTAAACTTTAATATTAATTTATAAATATTTGAATGAAAATTCATAAAAATATTTTAATCGTTATATTATCTAACTTTTGAGGAGAAATTACATTTAATATATAACTAATATAATTAATATATTAAATTTATATTTTTAAATAATGTTCATAAGTATCATATTTATTTATATAAAATATAATATAATATAATATAAAAAAATAATATTATGGTAGTAAAATATTATTTTAAATAATTACATTTTTATAATAATACTATTATTTTCATCCCAAAAAATTATAAATAGTAAAATATTGAATATTAAAAATAAAAAATATTTTAAATTCTCAAAATTATTAATATTTTAGTAAATCAAACTCTATGTATATATTATTATTATTTTTATAATTTTGAGTAAAGTATAAAAAATAAGAATTTAGAATGATCATTATAAAAAGAATTCATTAATTCAAGGATATTATTGTCCACAGTGGTGGGAATGTAAGATTACCTAAGAATTTGGAGGTAATGACATTCTCAATGTTTTAACCAAAAAAATGCTACTATTAAGAAAAAAGTATTCCCGGAAATGTAAGATTTCGTGAACCAAACGTGAAAATACAATTCCGGAAACAAATATTCCCCTTGATAATGTAAGATTTCACGAACCAAACGCACCATAAGTATTATATAACATTTATGTTGTCTTTCTCCTCCATAGAAATAGAAAAGTCAGGGTTAAAACTCTCCCCTTATTTAAAAATAATTTAATAATAAATAATATATATATATATATATATCTTATAAATACAATCATTTAAATCTAAATCTTTTAAAAAAATAATATTTTCTTATCAAAACAGAATCAATTGATATATTGATTTAATAGGCATTAACAGATTAAATAACCTACAAATTAAATAAAATTATTTTTAAATCACGAGTTAATTAAACGAGTTTGAAACTATGTTTGTTTACACTTGCAATGTTGTAATCTATTTTCTTCCTTTTATAAAAACCCGCTAGTTTTATTAAAAATAAATATATATATAAAATTATAATGAAGATTTACAAATATAATTGTAAACGTAAATTAAGTTATAATTAAGATATTTTCTTATAACCATTGACACAAAAACTAATCACATGGATCGAACAAAAAAATTTAACCAATGCTTTAACAAAATAAAAATACGAATATATCAGATTGCATCGGTAAATGAACCACAAAAGTATATGGAACTAATGAATGATTACTGATAAATCGCAAATCAGAGTCAAGCGACGTGAAAAAACTATTCACGAGCACAAAACGTGTATCCAAATCAATATGACGGTCCAAAGTAGAGAAGGTTAGTATGATAACAAATAAGCGTCATCTTGAACAGTCGTGGTGATATCAAATCCAACTATGAGAAAAAAAAGATAAATGAAATAACGACCAAACGATCGAAAACTACCAAAAGACAGAGAAAAACGTCTCATAAAGACATAAATAAACGTGTCATAATGACAGAGATAAACATGTCACAAAAATATAATTATTCTTATTAAAAAAAATTAAAAATAAAGAAAAAATACAACTAATGATCGATAACTAATATTAAAATCAGTGTCACCGTTAACTAAACAAAAATAAAGGAAAATTTTGATTTGTTCTATAAAAATTCGTACAAGTGGTAAAGAAGAAATAAAGGAATAGAGGGAGAGAGAAATAGCGGTTAGAGTTTGTAGGAACCAGTTGTAATCTATTTTCTTAACATGAATAATTAATGTATTATAATAAATTCATTACTATAATTAATACATTGCCACCATATAGTATAATTTTTTTTTGGGTTAAAAGAGGTACAAAGGGCTGCTCAGCTACCCGTTTTATCAATAATTAGAATCTTTTCAGTTTCCTTGAGGAGATTCTGTAGCAAGATTATGTCTCCCTGATATTTTCATATTTTTCTCTGTCTTTTGATAGTTTTAAGTCATTTTGTTGTTATTTTCATTTATTTTTCTCTCTCAGAATTAGATTTAACATCGTCACGATTGATCAAGATGACACTTATTTGTTATCACGTTGATCTTCCCTGCTTTGTACCCCTGGATTGATTTGAATACATGTTTTGCTCTCGTGAATAGTTTTCTCACTTCGCTTGACTATGATTTGCAATTTGTAAATGGTCTTTCAGTAGTTTCATCCTTTTTGTGGTACGTTTACCGATGTAGTCAGATTTATTCGTATCTTTATTTTGTTTGAGCATTGATTAAGTTTATTAACATTTTCCTTTTATGGTCATTGTGTGATTTAAGTTACTAGTTTTTGTGTTAATAGTTATATAAAAATATCTTAATTATAATTTAGTTTACGTTTACGGTTATACTTGTAACTGTTGATTGTAATTATGGATATTTTTTATTTTTAATAAAATTAACGTCTTTCTATAAAAAAAAGTTTCATTTATTTTATTACACGTGTATTTAATCTAAAATTTATATTTTTAATTTTATATTTTATTCAATGAATTTTCACTTTGTTCCTTTCATTCCAATTAATGGGTAGAATCGTAAATGGCCCAATCCGATTAACTGACCCAAATCCATCCATTATGAAATTGGATCTATTAGACAGGTTAGGGTTTTCTCGTAGCATAATCAAACCTCTCTCATTTGCCACCACCACTAGCAGCAGCGACTGAAGAAGAAGCAGTGCTCATCAACCATGGCGGAGCAGGTGCACACGCCGATCTACTCCCTCTCGCCTTCGCCTCTCTTTTATATTCGTAGATTCTCATTCTTCTTATTTTGATTGCAGACCGAGAAGGCTTTCCTGAAGCAACCGAAAGTGTTTTTAAGGTAATCTTAATTCTGAACCATGAAAAATATTTAACCTTCTTACTTTTTTCGGATTTGGGTTTTTTGAATTTAGATTTTTTTTTTATGATTTTGCTTATTTTTTCAGCTCGAAGAAATCTGGGAAAGGGAAGAGACCGGGAAAGGGAGGGAACCGCTACTGGAAGAGCATCGGTTTGGGCTTCAAGACTCCCCGTGAAGCCATTGAAGGTTTGTTTTCTTCTTTTTGTATTTCTATTCAAATATGTGTTTTTGCTGGTATGAATTGTCAGTGCATGCAAATTCTTCATAAGCTTTGAGTGTGTATTGGTAACTTGCATTTAGTATCTTAAGCTGAATAAAGATCTATAATTTTCTATATCATGCAAACATGTATATGTTTCAATGTTCTTTATAAGAAATAAATGATGATTTACTTCAATTGATTAACACCCAAAGCGAGATGTTTGGAAGGGAAATGTAGGATGTGTGTTTCTATGGTTCTGGAATTCGGTTAGATGATGTTTTGTGTATCTGTTTTTCCTAAAGGAGCCTACATCGACAAGAAATGTCCATTCACCGGCACCGTTTCCATCAGGGGTCGTATCCTAGCCGGTACTTGCCACAGTGCCAAGATGGTAAGCACCATCATCGTTCGACGGAATTACCTTCATTTTATCAAGAAATACCAAAGGCATGGACCAGCTTCATTTTGCTTTATTTTCCCCTAGACTTCCTTATTTGCTATTAGTTCTGAAGAATCACTTCCTTCTATATTTAGGTATGAGAAGAGACATTCAAACATACCTGCACATATTTCCCCATGCTTCCGTGTCAAGGAAGGGGATCACGTCATTATCGGGCAATGCAGGTTAAACTCCTAAACAGAACGATCCTATACGTCTATTGTCTATGAATCTAATCATTCTTGCAGTTAGCTTATTGGTAATTTGCATTCATCGTTTTCTAATTTCAGGCCGTTGTCAAAGACCGTGAGGTTCAATGTTCTGAAAGTGATTCCTGCTGGATCTTCTGGTGGAGGAAAGAAAGCTTTCACCGGAATGTAAGGTGTAAGTGTTTTCACGCCGTAGTCCGAGGTTGTATGAACATATTGATAAGACATCAAAATTCCCGAACTGAACCTTCGACTGCTAGATTTTTTTGTTTCGGTTTTCGTATGCACTATTTTTACTGTTCGGATCTTGTCAAATTACAAAAGACTGGAATTTTGGACATATCCCATGTACTTCAAGTGCAGAAGGTACTTCAATGTTTGAACTTTCAGTATTCTCTCATTCGTTGCCTAATTGATAGGATGTCGTTTGTGTTTTGTTGAAGTTTATATGCATAATTTATACCTTTCTGGTCTGTCTATTTATTCTTAAAGTGAAATTCCATTACTATATCTAGGGATGACAATTTAACCCGAAATTGAAAAGTTCTGACCTGATTTGATAGGGTCGGATTTTTTTTTAAATATTGGATTTTTTTTAAGGGAGTGAGGTCAGGTCGGATTTGTGTGGAGGGTGAAAAAATTTTGACCCGACCGAAGGATAAAAATGTAATTTTCTTAAAAATATTTTTTTAATTAAGTTCTTATTTTTTATCAAGTCAGATTTATACTCTAAAATTTTGGGTAAGATTAGAGTTGGATGGATGATATATTTTTTCGGATCAAGTCGGGCGGAGGATATATAATTTTCAGGTAGGGTCTTGGTGGAATATATATATTTTTGGGTCAGATCACGTCGACTAAAAACTTGATCATTTTAACTAAAAATCTGATCCAATCCGATCTATTACCATCTCTAACTATATCACCGGAATTAGGATTCTACGTATTTGCATAAGAAAAATGCAACTTTTATTGCATTACTCTTATGGTCCTGTAAAGGACGATAATTTCTCTGTTTGAAGTAATTGTTCTAATAAAATAATTTAAAAGAAACATTTAACTAATTTATATAGGACAATTTATTTGGTAAATGAATTAATACCAAAATAAGTATTTAAATTATATTATTTTTAAATTATATCATTTTTCCTGAATAAGTGTCTAAAGTATTTGTTGATTCATTCATGTACTTAATGTTACAAATATTATTATTTTAAGTGTCCGGACCGTTAACGGTGTTAATTTCCTCTGTTAGGTGATATGTGTCACAATTTGATGATTTTGAATTTTTTTAAAAAAAAATATTAAAAATATTATGATAATTATAAAAAAAAAACACACAAACTTTTCTTAAATTATAAAACAGTCTTAAAATCCTTAAATCCCAACTATAACATGCCGTAGTCACCCTTTCTGGCCACAACCATTGCCGTTGAGGTAGTCTGTGCCATCCTCCTAGTCTGTCGTAGTTGGCGTCGATCGGTCGGTGGAATCGTGTGAGATTGTTATTTTTATCTTAGGGTTGGCGGGATATAAAACGTCGATTCGTCATCGATCGTTCACGATTTTTCATAAGGGTTTTGGCTGTCGGGGGAGGGGAAGTCGAGTGAAGCTTCGTCGACGGTAAAGGCTGGCAGGCGGCGTGGGTTTAGGGGTTGGAATGAAGATTTTTAAAGTTTTGTGATTATTTCAAAATGTTTATGTTTTTTCTTAAAAATATATATATAATTTTAAATAAAAATTTTAAAATCACCATATTTTGACACGTGTCACTTAACAAGTAAAATCAACGTTGTTGACGATCCGGGCACTTAAAATGGTAACGTTTATAACATTAAACACCAGGTTGAGTCAAAAAATACTTTAAACACATATTCGAGAGAAATGGTATAATTTAAACATTTATTTTGTTATTAAGCCTTGATAAATTAATAGTAACATAATTTTTGTCCCATTCAAGACTGATTTGAAAATTCAAGTTTTTCATTTGAATTCGACCATACTCGAATTTTATAGTATCTTCATTTGACCTGATATTTTAAGTTAAAATTTATATTTGACCTGAAATGAATATATGTAATTTATTTTTTATTAGATAAAATAAGTACATAATTTAAAAAAAATAAAAAAAGTTATTATTATAATTATTCTTAAATATATAAACTACAATTATAATTTTACGTTGGATTGAGGAGAATTATTTTATCCCAAATCCGAATTCGACACGATCTCACTCTAAAAAAAATTAGATTCGATTTGAAATCGAATTTTTTAAAACCAAAAATCCATTCAATTGAGTAAAAAAATTCAAAGACTTGGCATGTTATTTCACTAATATTATATGTTTAAGGTTTCTTTATCTTCTAACCTCACCTGTGGTGTTGACCGCCACTGGAATCGTTTTCGGAAGCATATACGACTGTGCTATCTTATACAGTAGTATCCGGAAAGGATTAAGTTCATACGTAAATTTTAGTTCTCTCTTCCTTAAAATGCTTCTTCAGGTTTCTTTCATGGTAATTTTTTGATAGCCTCCTCCTCATCTGTGTTTCGTAAAGCTAGAAAGTATTTCCGAGGATTCAGTAGCCATGGAAAGAAAAAATGACCTGTTGACAAATTTTATCCCCACTCTTCGGTCAGGCGAGTGGTCTAACATCGGGGGTCGTCCCTATATGGAGAAAAATAAATGGCTGTTCCTTTTTCCCATATGTATGGGGTAAGGAAGGTAAGATAGTAGGCTACCCCCAATACCAAGTTGAGAGCAGCTTCCGTAAGAGACCTCCGAATTATGAAGGATACTCATATATGCATTGCAGACTTGGCCAAGAATTTTGGCTGTGATTTAGTGAGTGAAGAAGCTATTTCCTTCTATGGTGTACGTTTGTAAACTATCTTTTTTTTACCTATATATTGGCATGTCGGACTTTCCAGTACCCTTGGCTCTATTACTTTGTTGTCCTAGAATGTGGAGATAATTGTTCTCCTACTACTCTTTGATCTAGGAATAGAACCATTACGTGTTCGGTCATCTTGCAATAATTCAGACGAGTTACTTTCACGTAACCAACTTAATTGGAAAGATAAATATGCTTTTGTCATCGTCTTGTCTTCCCCATCATTAACAAATGACCGAAACTTGAAAGTTACTGCAGCTTCTGTTCTTAACATTAATCATCTTGAAGTCGCAGTTGAGTGAACCCGGAAGTGATAAATTCCTAAATTTTAGCCTTCCTGAACACCATTATGAGTTATGACAACTATTGGTTCATCTTTGAAGCCATCAAACATTATTGGTATCATCTTCTTTTTCGGGCTAACTTCTTTAGCTGTACGGTTTACTTATTTTCCATTTAAAATGACTTTTAACTGAATAGCTATCTGTTAGATTAGAAACTCAGTTTTGCAGCCAAAACAAATGCTTTGGAATAACATCGAACAAAACATAAGAGACAGATAAGCTTCTAGGAATTACTTGAGCATTCTGTTTATTGACATAAAAGGATCAGGTTTTTGATGGGCACGGAGGAAAGGATGCTTCTCATTTCGTCTGTGATCATTTTCCCAGAGTTATTGTTGAGGATGTTGATTTTCCCCTAGAACTGGAGAAAGCGGACACGAGGTCATTCATGGAGACTGATGCTGCATTTGCAAAGTCTTGCTCTCTCGAGTCCTCACTGGCGTCTGGCACTACTGTTCTCACTGCAATGACTTTTTAGTGTTTACGTTTGAATAAACTTTTATGGTTTTTGCTTCGACTGAAAGGGATATCTTATCTCTCACAGGTCTTTACTTGTCGTGAATGCTGGGGATTCTAGGACGGTACTGTCATGGCGTGGAAGAGCTATAGAGATGTCAAAGGATCATAGACCCTGTTGCGTGAAAGAGAGGAGACAAATCGAGTCTCTGGGTGGGTTAATTGATGATGGTTATCTGAACGGCTTACTAGGGATCACTCGTGCATTAGGTGATTGGCACCTTGAACGTACGAAGGAAACGGGCGAGAGAATCGGCCCGCTAAGTGCTGAACCAGAACTCAAACTAATAACACTAACCAAGGAAGATGAGTTTTTGATCATCGATAGGGATGGAATATGGGATGTTTTTACTAGGCCTGTAAACGAACCGAACGCACACGAACGGAGGTATGTTCATGTTCGTTCATTTAATAAATAGACGAACATAAACGAACACGAACATAAACGAACAATTTTTTTTTTGTTCATGTTCGTTTATTAAGGAATATAATATGTTCATGTTCGTTCATTTAATAAATAAACGAACATAAACGAACACGAACATAAACGAACACGAACATAAATGAACACGAACATAAACGAACATAAACGTTGGAGACCCTACCTTCCATTGTTCTTTCATGAAAAATAGTCGACAATGCAAATCAACCAAATTTACAGTGATAAATAGCGTAAGAGTTTATTAGCAGTGATGAAATGTTTGAAGATATCAAATATTTTGATCGATCTTTTAAAGATATTAAATGATTCACACAACTTTAATTTAACGCTATAACATTTATCTTAGTGGTCCATGATTACATATGAACAATCATTTTTCGCTATTACACTCTTTTCAGAAATTGCATAGAAACCTTTGTTTTGTTTTCTGGCAAATTCTATATATTTTTCTCTTTATTGATGCTTATATACTTCCGATTGTTACCTTTATCTTCCCATCTATTTCTAGAAAGAAGTATGATGTTTTCTTGAGTTTTAGATGTGAAGATACATGCAATAACTTTACATATCAACTATTAAGCCAAATAAAACAGAGAAAGAGATGAAAACAGACCTGTAAAACTTCATATTGCACTATAATATAACTTGTTTTGAAGCTTTCAGCGATCGTCTCCACTCTCTAGTGGACACTAGGGTTTGGGAAAAAAGGGGAAATGAATATAGGTGCGATGTGCCTCACAGGTTAACATATTGGATTTAATCTCCAAATAAAATTGGGTTAATTATGGAGTTGGTCATCAGAATATCAGATTAATTAATATTTTTAAGATACTTACAAATTGGTCACCAAAATTGATTTAAGAAGATTGAGTTAAACATAAATGAATGAACATAAACGAACATAATCAAACGAACATAAACAAACATAACCGATCAAACATAATCGAACGTTCACGAACGTAAATGAACGAACGAGGCCTATGTTCATGTTCGTTCATTTAATTAAACGAACAAAAAATATTGTTCATGTTCGTTCATTTAATAAATAAACGCACATAAACGAACTTCCCGCCGCACGGTTCACGAACGGTTCGCTGAACGTTCAGTTCATTTACAGGCCTAGTTTTTACCAGCCAAAATGCCATAGATTTTACAAGACGGAGACTCCAGGAGCACAATGATGTCAAGTTATGCTGCAAAGAAATAGTTGAAGAAGCAACAAAAAGAGGAGCAACAGACAATCTGACTGTAGTTGTGGTGAGTTTTCACTCGGAGCCTCCTCGGCCTTGCGCCAGACAAAGGGGAAGAGTCAGGAGGAGTATATCTGCTGAGGGGCTTCAGAGTCTCAAATGCCTCTTAGAAGGATAGAACTCTGTTACATTTTTAAACTCCATGCATGGTACACATAGGAGAGAACTAGCTACTGGCTAATACTTAGCTGTTCTGGTAGGATCTTCCTGTGTACACTCACCAATTGAACAAAAGAAAACTCGAAAGAATCGAATTAAGAAGACTTTAGATTCTCTTTCCTCATCACTCTTATCAGCTTCTAATGAAGTTTAGGATTATTTGAGGAACACAATTGATTGTAAGCAGAAATAAGTATGTTATTGAACAATTTTTTAGTACAAACTTTGATCTGGTATAGGTAAAATGAGTAATGAAGTTTATTATGATACAAAAATTCTTGTACATGTGAACTGAAGATGTTTTGTGTGTATAAAAGAATGAAATACAATAGAGATTGTGGTACAAGGAAAAGAAAACTTTTAATAGCATATGCTGTATCCTAATGAGATGCTTCTCTAAACAGTCCGAGCCTCCGAGGCCTCGAGAAACTGCATCATCTTGCAGTCACTACTCTGAAGCCATTTACCATCCTTCCAATCTCAGTTTTCGCAACACGAATCAAGAATAAACTGGCCACGAATATAGCAAAAATTAGCATGAAAAATACACTATTCCAACCCCTAGTAGATATATACCCGGCCAAAAGAGGTCCAAGAGCTGCCCCGATAGAGCCGGTGCCATCTATGATTGCGGACACAGTAGCTAATGCACGGGAGTTTCCTTTAATCAAGTCCTGGGTACCAAGATCAGCAGCAACAGCTGTTGTAATTAGTGAATAAGGGCCATTCACCAGCAAGCCAGATAGAAACATCAATGAAAGGTTGGTAACCATAGAGACACTTCCATAAACCCGGTACAAAATCAGTGACGGAATCGATAGTAATAAGAAAGTAACTGAAGTAACTGCACGAGCATCAATGATATCTGAGACGAAACCTGCTAGCACCCACCAAAGACTCCTCCGATATCGAATATTGTAGAGAGAATCCCAGCAGTTTTATGGGACAAATGCACTCCAGCAACAGCTACGAATCAAACACAAATTTGCAATAAGAAATAAGCATCCGCTAATCAAATATCAAGAACAGATTCAAACATAAAGAACGTGCTCAAGCTGCAAACAATTAAATTTGTAGATAACCATCTGTGATAGGCTAATTTCGCCATACTAGGACTGGCTTTATTAGTATACGGAAAGTACCGACGGTTTATTGCCATGGTCATATAATTGAGAATGCATTTCTACTGAATTTTCCTACAGGATATCCTGAAAAAGCTCAAGTTTACTCTTGAAATAATAATGACATCAAGTGATAACAAGTACCTGTATGTCTTATGTAGAAGGCAACCAATACAAAAACGTATAAGCCACCAACTTGGAGAAGAAGAGGCAGAAAGAAAATGGTGCCACACCAGGCAGCTTCCATGCCTCCAAGAATCCGATGGCAGCCAAAGAATCCGAATCATCCGAATCCTTGTTCTCGAGCAGCACTGCTTCCTCAGACTCAACTGTTTCTAAATTCACTGAGCTTTCTCCTCCACATTCATCTCAATCTCCTTCTCACTCGACATAATCTCGAACCCAAATCATAAGGACTAACCACTAAGAAACAAAGACCAAAACTCCAACTACAATAACCAGTATCCCAGGCACCAAAAAAGACCAACCCCAACCAAATTCCAATACACCAGAAGCCACAACAGACCCAATAATGTTCCCAACAGATGTATGTGAAGCCCAAACCCCCATAATCAACCCTCTCTTCTTTTCCCAAACCAATTCCCAACAACAGCAACCACACAAGGCCACCCTATGGATTGAAAAACCCCACAAAAGACTTGAACTCCAATGAAATAACCCAACAAATGGACATCGAACCAATATCCGAACCCGAAGACTATGGTCAAAAGGCCACTACCCATCATTCCAAACACAAGGAATAGCCTCAAATCAATCCTATCACCTACATGTCCTGCGAAATACATCCCTATGGCATATGATATTAAAATGCAAGATCAAGCTCACCGAGCCGATGGGTTCCTTCCGGACCGTTGAACGGTGCCCATCCGGTGTCGATTGAGGTAGAATTTGATTGAACCGAGGGTCCCAAGACGCTTTTCACAATGCTGGGGGGTTTCCGAGAAGCGTGGAACGAGGCGTAGGCTAAGAAGGTGAGAATCAAGACGAAGATTTGGTGGAAGAAGAGGGTTTTGTGGGGGCTTTAGGTTTGGGAAAAGGGTGAATCCAGGAGCTAGGCTTGGGGTTTTGGATTGCATTGCAAAAAGATATCGTGATCTTCGAGATACAAAACTCTTTGAAAAATGGAATCTTTCATGTGAATTGAAACAAAGACGAATATGTGATCTGGGAATGAACCATGGGAAGGATTAGATGATAGTAGTAAACAAAAAAGTAAGAATATTTGTTAAAAAAAAAGTGGGTTTTGAACAAAAACTGGAGAGGCTGTTCACGTCAAAGGTCAAAACTTTCAGTCTCGCCCATTGTAATTGAACTCTTAGTTGACTTTTCAACATCACTCAACTGTTTAACTCCCAACATTTGAACATAGATTTGCTTATTCCTTCAAATAGCTTTCGTTTATAATAACCTATAATATCGCTTATTAATTAAAATATTAGGGTAATCTATTCATTTAGTATCTAAAATATTAATTTTAGTCACTTTTAATACTTTAACTTTCAAAAAAAAAAAATCAAAATTATACTGAAAGTTTAGTTTTATACGACAAATAGAATATGAAATATATGTGCTACTTTTAATGCAAATTGGAGGTACAAAAATACAGGGAATCTCAACTGAAGGTAGATTGCAGTAAACAAACCATACACAAAGCCAGAAGAAGCATTGGTTCTTGAATTGCAGGGTCCGTACATCAATGGCCACACTACAGCATAGGTGACCCGACAGGTGACATCTGAGCAAAGAGTGACCACTGACCATTAGAACGCTACAAATCAATAAATGAAAACATGGTAGGTGTAGCCCACCCAAAATCCTCAATAAGTGAAACGTGGTGGGTCACTTAACAGTAAAGAGAACACGCAATGTTCAATCATCAATATCTACTTCAATTCTGCACATTCATCCAAGCAATACATGTCTTGAGAGATATTGAATCGTTAACTAGTTATGTTATCAAAAAACCAAAATCTACAAAACTTTGATTCTATAGTATGTAAGATTACAAAACCTAAAAGAAATAGTATTATGTGCAAACCAAGATCGTTTCATAATCCTAAAAAATCTGCAGCATTCATGGAAGACTGTTCCCGATTTCCAGCAAAACTTTTGCTTCTTTTTGGTCCCCCTACTCTTAGTTGTGAATTGGAGGTTTTCTCCTAGCAGGAGAACAGTCCATTTCCACAATGTCGGCATACTGGTCATGGAGTTTCTCTGGTTTGAGTTTGAAGTAGGGTTGTCGTTAGCTTTGTTTTATCCATCGATCTCTTCTCTCTGTATACATGGATTCGTTCATGTAAGGGAAGATCTAAACCCTAGCTATGGAAACATAGTTATTAAAATGTTTACTATAAACCAACCTTTGAAGTGGTGGTAGACGAAGGAGAAGTACAAGTAGTTGCAGTAAAAAGTTTCCTACCCTTTCCTGCAAAAATGAATGTCAAAAGATATCTGCTTTAGATAGACATGTATCTGTTGGATTTGGTGCAATACAAGAAGAAGGAAACATTCATTGGAATGTCGGGTTTTAATGATTATGTAATGGAAATTGCAGAGACAGGAGGCGTCGTTGTTACTTGTTAGTAAGAAACAAGTGTCGGCTTACCTTGAACAGTACTAGGAATGAAAACGAACAACACCAGAAGAGAGAATGCCAATATTTGGGGAGGCTTCATTTGCAGAAAATGAGGTTACACTTTGTGAAGTGCTTAGAAATTGTCAACTGATATATCGAATAAGACGGTGTTTGTTTGTTTGCTCCTAAAGCCTAAAGGTGTTCGTGTTTGTTTAAATTTTTAATATGGTGTTTATATTTGTTTGTGTATTTTTTTACTTTGTTCGTGTTCGATTCATTTTTCGTTCATCAATATATTCATTTAACGTTCACGAATCTTTGTTTAGTATTCACCAACATGGTCCTTAAAGTTCACGAGCATGCTTATTATATGGTTCTCCCCCCACAACCAACACTCTCTTTAACTTTTTTTATTTGACAGCAAAAGAAAAAGAAAATAACCTCAGTGACAAAAATACCTTATAATATGCGATTTTAACCAACTTTTTTTGGATTTGCCAAAATGACCAACTAAATCGCAATGCGATCGATAATTCGCAACGCGATCTCCGGTATCACAAATCAGTTTCCAGATTCACAACGTGATTCTGACTATCGCATTGCGATTTCCCAAATTCTCGTTGCGATTTACTAATTCGCAATGCGATTTATGTATTCGCATTGCGAATTAGTAAATCACAACGAGATTATGACTATCGCAATACTGAATTTCAATTTCGCAACTCGATTTTTGAATTCGCAACAGGTTTTAATTTCGCAACACAAATGTTTTGGGTATATAAATACGCAACAGCAACAACTCATAACCTAAATCCCTAAATCGCAACTCATTTCATCTCCATCTATCACTCTCTCCGACGACATTCGTTCCTATATCCAACGACATCCTTCCCCATCCGGCAACAAGTTTTAGTTTCGCAGCTCGTTTGTTTAGTAAATTAATTTACAATAATGAAATCATCTAATGTTGATCATGTTTGGATAGATTTGTGTTTTGGAGGGTCATGGGAGAATGTTCATGGTGTTTACAATATGCCTTTACCCATGAATCTTCAACTAAAACTGTCATTAAAAAGGTTAACTTATGAAACTCTAATGTTACGTGTTGCAAATAAATTGAATTTAGAGCCCCTAAGTGGATTTAGGCTATCTTATCAGAGAAATGGTAAAGTTTATTTGTTAACCGACAATGAAGATGTTGAACGATTAATTGCTTACATTAGTGTTTCAACTGATGATGTTACATTGTATGTTGTTGAACCTAGAAGTAGTGAAGTTGGGTCAGTAGCGGGTAGTAATCAACTAAGTTTTTCAACCCCAGTTTATAGTGCTCAAAATTTAATGGTTTCACCACAATTTCATCACCAAGCAAATATTGTTTCACCACATTTCCAATACCAAACACAATCTCAAAACCCACAACCTTTCCCTAATCCAAATCCCAATCAACTTTCAGCACCAAATTCCGGTTTTCATATTGACCAGTTAAATGATGATGAGCCAACAAAAAAAATTGTGAGTACTAGTCAGTATTCGAAATTTGATCTTGGTCAATACCCGGACTTTGATCTTGGACAATACTCGGATTTTGATGATTTTTCAGAAGAAGAAACAGACCCTGCGTGTAATGATTTTGATATTGGTCAATACCCGAATTTTGATGATGAAACAGCCGTTGCCGAGGAAGATGTTGTTGATGATAATGAGGAGGAAGTTACGACTGTAAATGAACATGTTGAACATCCATTCTGTAATTCATATAACACTGAAGAAGAAAAAGAAGAAGAAGAAATCCCAAAGAAAAGTCCCCGAAGAAAATGACACGGGAGTATAACTGGAATATGCCAGAATTCCTTCAGATACCGGAAGAAGAGTTGGTAAAGATAGCAGTTGATTGTCACACAAAAATTATTCGTATCAAGAAAGATGATTGTTTTGATACAAAGGAAGACTTGAAGATAGCTTTGTATACGAAATGTGTGGAAGATGGCTATCAACTAAAAGTTAACAAATCAAGCAAAGATCGTTTCGAAACAAGTGTATGATTGACAAAAACTGTATGTGGCGTATGATTGCAAAGAGGATAAAAGATTGCGAAATGTTTCAAGTTAGGACTTTTATTGATAAACATACATGTTCAAGAACCCAAGTTTTTCCTCACCATAGACAAGCAAATAAAAAGGTGTTGGGGCGGTTTTCTGGCTGAGTTAATGTTTTTGAATGGTAGGGTATATCGGGGACATGAAATTATGACTGACATAAATGCTCGGTTCAAGATTATCTCATATTCTCAAGCTTGGAGAGCCAAATGTTATGCCTTGGAATTGTTGAGGGGGTCGCCAAAGCATCGTTTGCCCAACTGCCGGCTTATTGTCACAATTTAAAGCTGAAAAATCCTGGGTCGGTAACTCATATCAAAACAGATAGAGATGGACGCTTTGAGTTGTTGTTTATCGCCATTGGTGCTGCGCGGTTATAAATCAATATAATTTGTTGACTCATTTTTGTTAGTTACATGCATTTCACATTTAAATGATTATATTTCTTGTGTATATGATTTTGTAGATTCGTTCGTTTATTAATTGCATGCGCCCAGTTATTATAGTTGACGGAGCACATTTAAAAGGTCGATACCTTGGAGTAAACTTATTAGCAGTAGCCATGGATGCTAACAATGGGATACTGCAATAGCTTACGGGGTTGGAAAATCTGAAACCTCTGATTCATGGACATGGTTTATGGGGCATCTTAGGGATTGCATATGTCCTATTAGCAATCTGACAATCATATCCGATAGGGCAAACTCAATGACAACGCTGTTAGAAGGTGTTTCCAGAAGCTTTTCATGGACTTTGTGGTGTTCATTTGTATAGAAATCTAAAATCAAGGTCTGCTGGTATAAAAAAATCACAAATGGACATATTGGAAGGCTGTAAAAGCTTATCGGGAAGTGGATTTTAATAAGCATATAAAACTGTTAAGACGTGTTTTGCCTCAGTGTGCTCAAACACTAGAAGATGTCGGGTTTGAAAGATGGTCAAGAGTACATCAACTTGGAGCAAGATATGGTTTCATGACGTCTAATAGTGCAGAATCAATCAACGCTTAAGTCGTCATTCCGGAAAGTACCCCTACTGTTAATGGAGTTTTTTCGAGCCTCTATTCAACAGTGGTACTACAAGAAAAAAACCATGCAGGTATTATTTCTTTAAATTCGTAACTTATCATATATTACTAGTATATTTATTTAAATTTACAGGAATTGGAACATTGTGTACACGTGGACAGAAAAAAAGATAACGAAACGTGTTGTGAAGTCAACGTCATAGAGAGTTGAACCATGTTCAAACACTTTGTTTGAAGTACTGGATAATAACTTAAATGGGCTTGTCGATCTAAATGCAAAGACGTGTAGTTGTATGAAATGGCAAACATGGTTATCCGTGGCCATGTTATAAAAGTTCTCTTCATCTAAACCAAGATGATTCAAGCGCATACGCTATGGATTGCTACACTACAGAAGTATATCGACAGACTTATGGCGAGATTGTCTACCCTATTCCACATCCTTCTGAGTGGGATACCAGATGACTTACAAACAGTTTTGCCACCAGCCATGGACAAAGGCTACCTGGCCGACCAAAAAGTCACGATCGTATACCGTCTAAGGGTGAAGAGAAGAAGAGATCGACATATAGTCGGTGCAAGGAAAGTGGTCATACAAGGTTGACATGTGGATCACAGTGCCATCACAATCATCTTTTCCTCTACCAAAATATGGATCCTCATCAAAATCCAAAGCTATGGTGTCAAGCAAAAGGCAATCAAAATCGCAATCATCTTTAAAATCCTAATCACAACCGGCTTCACCTTTTGGGACTGTTAACTTAGGTGATTTTTAAATGCAACGTTGTATATGTGGATTTTATGTGTGAACTTTAACATTTTCAGTTAGGCATGTATTAGTAACTTGAGTTTGAAAATTGCTATGATCTGTTCAGTTGTTATCACTTATTAGGCATTCATTTGACTATCGCAAAACGGAAATGAAGTTCGCAATCATCTTAATGTCTATCGCAACGCGGAAATGACTATCGCAATGCGAAATGAAAATCGCAACGAGAGAATCGCAATGCGAAATGAAAATCGCAACGAGGGAATCGCAAAGCGAAATGAAAATCGCAACGCGAATTTAGTTTCGCGTTGCGATTTTCATTTCGCATTGCGATAGTCATTTTTGCCTTCAACATAATGCAGATTGAAATCAACAAAAATCACCATTACATTTTAATCAATTAAACAGCACAAATAAGAATTATGTTCACATTAAACAAATTTTACAAATCATCTTTTACAAATCAATTAAACAATCAAAAAATAAGAAATAATTCTTATTTCCTCATCTACTATTGAATCAACTTTTGCAGCCATACATCATTTTCACGCAGCTCACTTCTGAGATTAACCTGCAGAAACCAAACATTTGCTCAAACAACACTTTCTACACATCTAAAACCTACAAAAACAAATTATTGAATTCTAGGTACTTAACCAAACATTTTCAAACCAAAGCCTATAAACTTACCAATTGTTTATGGACATTTTTATAACGCGGATACAGGTAGGCAGCGCCTCATATATATCGATCTAGCCATATAATGCCGAAACCACAAGCCTACTGTAACTCTATCTCTATCGGTGGGAGGTATATACTTTATACTTCCTGTGATCAAACGCTCCAACGCCAAGCATACGAGAGGATCACAATCCCCTCTGGGTCCTTTCGTTTGTTTTGGTGCGGTCTCGTCTCTGCTAACTGTAGTATTGAGCTTCTTTGGCTTCTTGTTTCCAGAACGAGTCAATAATTTATCGCATCCAAGAATTTAGCCAAATGAGAGCTCCATCCCTTAATATATCTCTTAAATCAGCCAATGATATGTAATTTATCATGCTGTCATATACTATTGCCTTAAGGGATGGGAGCTGAAGCTCGACGAGAAGCCAATGTTTACGTTCCAAAACAGGGATAAACACCTGCAATCATAAGTAATAATTCATTCATTTGCGCACTATTTATGAATACCTTTAAACTCAATCTAAAATAAATACTAACCT